ACAGATCAAGTGAACTATTCTTAAGGCAAGTAAGTTTCTCCGTTTGTCCGCTGCTGCTTGCCACTTGAGTTCCTAGTGTTAAAGGTGAAATCGTCAGATTTCAGGGAATTGTCTTATGAAGGTACGTAAATAATAATGTCTTCAAAAAGTGATGAACACATGAAGCGAAAATCAAGCTGAAGCTTGAATAGCCTTAATCACTTGCTCATAGGATACGTAATGTACCGGTTTCGTCTTCTTACTGAACATCATCGCTCGATGGTAAAGCAATTGTCTGCCACTGATGTCCGTGAAATTAGTCTTTATAGCATGAGATTCGAAATTCAGAAAATCGATGTCAGCTCTATTCTTGAAACGTTACTCTTCTACCGTACTTTCTCTTCTCGCGAGAGAAGAATGGCTGGCAGTTTGACTGTTCATAATGCATACAACTTAGCGTATTTCTTCACGAAGTATAAAATTATTTCTACTTTGTTTTCGTCAGTAATGCAATTAATTGGCGTAACGTTAACAGAAAACCAATATACGTGTGAAAAGTCGTAAGAGAATCCTAAAACCGTTGAGGACGCGGTTTCGATACTCACTCACATTATGCGTTGTTTCGAACGTTAATTTGAAAGTAAAATTACTATATAATAATAATAACGTTTGTTAATTGCAAATTTGCAGTTGTTTTCAACAGATCGTATTCCAGATCGCGTCAGCTTTACTTACACGTTAGTTATAAATTTGAAATATTTCTTTTTCTTCTCTCTAACCCTTAAACACTTAACAAGTTGTTAAGTTTTGCTTGAATACCGTATGGTCATGTGATTAAGGCGGTCGGGTTTCAATCGAAGGGTCCGGTCCAGGACCCATCATAGAACTCTACTTTACCCGAAATATGTTACGACATATAGATTTTCTTAGTACATAAGTTCACCAGTGGCAGACGCAAGCGTGTATGCCGGCCACTGTAGTTTTTTTACACAACATAATTAAACGACATTCAGAAATGAACAAAGTGATTACAGAAATCGAAGTAAACACAAACAAACTTAAATAAAGCACGAAACTATGCGTTACATACAAATTTATTGCTACTATTTTTGATGAAGCGCGTGTATATACTTTCTCGCTCTGTACCTAATCCACTTCTTGTAACGTTTAATTATGTCGAATAATCTCATGTTAAACGAGTTGATTACCAAATTAGTTGTGTTAGCATAATTCCCGTTGAAAGCTGAACCTGAGCGAAGGGATGAGCAGTGGCATTCCAAAGAAACGACACAAAATTATTGCGGGCGTTTAAATTTTCACGGAAATGCTAGAGGATACGATATGTGAAAGAGGAAGAAAAGAACAGATAACATAACATGTCATTCCGTCCATCTACCTATTGCTTGTATGTCAGCTGCTACCTGTTTAACTGTCTCATCTGCTAACTGTTAGCTTCCACTTTCGTTTTCAAAATGAGACAGCGTTGACGGTATGAAAGAAGTTGTTACGCCATCATAGGGTGAACCCAGCAGAGTAATTGTTAAACAATATTAACTTGGGTTGCTTGTGTTTGTGCTTCACGTTAGACATAATTTATTGTATGAAGAAAATGAGTCATTTCGGCTCGAAAAGCAATCGAGCTTTGTTAAGGTGTTAGTTTTTGAAACTGAATTTACCATAGATAGGTTCGAACTTGAAAAGTTGCCGAATCAATATACGGTAAACGAGTTGAAGGACTTAACTAAAGACATCAACGCGCTTCGAATGCTTTTCAGAAACAAAATGTTTTCCCCAGTTTGTGTTTAGTTGTTCTCGTACATAAGTCAAATATTTACCCTCGTTATTGAGAAGTGATTTGAAAATCGACCTTCTACGTCCTGAATAGGCAAGATAATGTTAACTTACAGCGATGTAAGCGATGGTAATCGAAAACCATTTACTCGAATTTACTATCGAAAATTTTTATTCGAAGGTGTCTACGTACGTACGATACGTATGTACGATCTGTATTAATATCAAGGAAATTGTAGATATACACATTATTTCCTCCTCGATGAAAGCCGGTGACGACTTAAAAAAAAAAAGGGGCTACAATCCCTTCAAATAGTTGAAGAGTGAAGAAGAATTAAGCAGAAAAATTTCGTTGAACATTTCGATGATCTTGAGCGGTATCTTGAAATCGCTTATCTCTTTATTCGTATAAAAATGTAAAGTATTTTTAATTGTGATTAATTGTGTCTGTGTGGACTGAATAAATTTGCGTAATTTGTTTACAACTAATTCAACACGTTTGTTTATTTACTGCATAGTTTAATAATGTGTTGGATTTATTTACGTAATTTTGTCAACATAGCACGTTTACTAACACGAGTTACAAACTGCGGAGTTAATCAAACGCGTTTTTTCTTTTTTTTTTTTTTTTTGGTTTTGAAATCAAGAAAGCTCTTTGAAGGATAAAACGCTTAAAAAACCAATGTACTTTTTCCATTCATATCAATATTAAGAAATAAGTTAATAATCAATTCATTTCCGAAAAATTGTTTCGTTACGAATTAATTTTCTAAAGTTAATAGGAGGTTCCTTTCATAGTTCTTTTTTTTAATACCCATCAGCGAGGAATGAAAGATATATTCATTTTGTCAAAACGTTCGCAACACCCAGAACGAAGCCTCAGGAACCCCACAAAGTACATATATTATTGATCAGCAATTATTTCTAAATCGATTTAATCATGTCCGTCCGTACTCTTATGGAGTGTGTGTTTTAAACATTCCCCTGATCGAAAAAATCAAGCTGCCTGCTTCAACATTGGAAGGTCTTGCACCCATCCTTAAAAAAAATATAAAAAATATCCTTTAAAATACACTGGCAAAAAAAGTAACGGGAATAATATTAATGGCTTTGATTGTAAATTCATAGAATTGTAGATTGTTGAGATGCCAAGTTGTGCTGCTATCTGCGAATTATTTTATTACAATTATGTAAGTTTGTGTTACCAATATTAGAGTTCACTTTCAAATATTTCGCCTCAAATTTGGTTGTTTCAATTCAAAGAACTCTCACTGAGTATATTAGAAAAATCTCAGATAATGATATCTTGATGATATAACGTTTTGGTTATGGTTTTCTTTGCTTTGCTGGGCCATCGAAGTCTTCTACGGGCGGCCGGCTATTAACTTAGAACAGACTAACAGAGTGACTTAGATATGTGTTCATTAAAAAGAGCAAATATTCGCCCATGCATAGGAGTTTCTCGACTATTTCCCTCGGACAACATACACCGCATACATCGGATTTATTTCTTACACGCAACATACCATAAATTGTTATATCGCGAAAGCTTTATTTGGTGCCATAATTGAAAATGCAACGCGAAGAACCTTCAGATATCTTTGGAAAGCATTTATTAAATGGACTTCTATAACTGCTTGCTACACTGACGTCAATGCGTGGCCTTAAATGGCGACTTTTTGTTTTGAAGAAATATCGCTTGCATCACAAAAAAAAGGGACTGGTTTTAATTGTTTCCGATATTTTTTTTACAGCAAATATCTTTTGGAGCTATACAGTGAACGGCGTAAGCATAAGCCAATTACGCTTTTGTCGTTTGTCTTCGAATCCCGATTTGGTATTTCCTTACGAAAACGAATAGCAGTTTTAGTGGAAGTTCACCTTGAGGCTATGATAACGATATGTTTCCGTTGATTACGAAAAGCGTTTGGGGTATAATCAATACGAAATATTTATCAAGAATTAACAGAAATCCGCCTGATATGTGCCTACAATTACACTTGAGAGACTGGGTGTTTTCATGCAGTTTATAGGAATTAATAAATTTATTCATATACTTGAATGGTTGACTAATTCTATACAAAATGCATAAATAGAGAACAAGTAATAAAATTATATTCGGTTGTGACCGAATCGAAAGAAGTAAAAAATAAATTTTCGTCGTCTATAATTTAGGGTGGATTGAGCTGATTTTTTCCATTTTCAAAATAAAAGTTTTTGTCGTATGCGCACGGGAGCGTTGTAATTGCGTCCTTTGAAAAGTCTACGGCATTTTCAAATGTTTTTATAGGCATTTATCTTAATTTTTGCGAACGAAAGAATGTTTACCACAGATACTACACAGTTGGGCAGACGAACAGACATACACCTTGGCTTTTAATCGTGTTTCTGCGCGTTATAAATGCATTGAAAAAAAATGAAATTTTAATACACTATATTATTGGATAGGCATACGAGTTTTGTCGATATTTGGGCAGGTACTACAGCATCGATCATACAACATATATGCCAATTTTTGTATGTTTGTCTGCTACGCTAATGAATAAAACAACAATTTTTTAGTCCTTTTGAAAAACAGAGATATTCTTAGTTTAATTAGTACTGTAGGCCTGCCCTTCGACCGATTTCGCTCATTTTCCTGCATGCCTTACAACAGACATTGCACAAAAAGACAGATGGACATGCTTAAATCGATTCACAATTTCATGTTTATCAAGAATATATAGAGTTTATGGGGTCTCGGAAGCTTCCTGCTGGGCGTTGCAAACGTTTTTACAAGATGAATATGCCGCTCATCCGTCAGTTCGGGGTGAAAAAATATAAAATACATATGTGCTATGTCTTTTTTAGTCTTTACTCAAGAATAAATTTAATGTAATTAACATATTTTTTGCTAATTTTATGAGAAGAAAAATCAATGTTTTCTTAGAGGAAAGGCTTACCATACCATAGCGGTATAATTCGCTAACACCCGGCACTTTACTTGATTGCAGCGCGTAGGGAATTGCTTTCTGCATAAGTTGTTGTTAAGATTTCGTGGTTGGATACATTAAGGGAAAAACCAGGCCACCAGATTTGGTAAATAAAGCCTTCTTCTCTAAAAAACTTAAGTAGCGCGTACCTCTTACTCTAATCTCGAGTACATAATGAATTTCTGAGGTTTCCATTATCTATTTATTTGTTGTTTTCTGGTTGAAATTTGTTAATTGTCTGTAATCTTTTTCTTACAGGATGGTGTTATTAATTAACTGCAGCACTCAAGCAACGGTAACGACAAACAAACAACAACCAAAAAAGAAGGAAAAAAATTCCGAAATTCATTAAAAAAAATTAAAATAAATAATAATAGTAGTAGCAACAGCAAAAAAAAAAAAATAATAATAAAAAACTACATATTGGAGAAGGTGTGTCTGCCAATCAGTATAATGGCCCAGTGACTTGCTTTTCCTTTACAGCAATTCTTAAAAAAACAAGTGAATTAAAAAAAAAAAAAATCAATTTTTTTTCTTTTCAACGAAAAAATTCCGTTAATAACTGCAGTGTTCCGTGTTAAAAAGCGATTAACAATTGAAACTTGATTTTAAGAATAAATTAAAAGCGTTGTTTTTTCGATTATTGCTATTATTCTCCTCTGTTTTTTTTTTTTTCTTTTTTTTTTTTTACTTTTCGTATAAATTAATGTAAAGCTAACCACGTACACTATAAGCTCTTTTTTGATTTTTGATTTTATTGAATTTAAGAAGAAAAAAAAAAAAAAAGTGAATTTATAAGAATGAAAACATCTGATTAAAATCATATTAATTATTGTTTAAATGAAAGTGAGTTTTATTTTTTATTGGCATAGCGCGCTTTAATGCATAAAAAAGCTAAAACTTGTGAGTTCAAAGTGAGAGTAAAACTGTAATTCTTGCGAAGCACAGCAGCATCACTATCAGGCAATAAGACAATTACAAACATCATCATGGATACGATTACAACCAGTGCAGATACGGTTAATATAAGTGGCTTAAGCCACAACGATAGTAACAACATGAGCATCAGCAACAGTACGAACACAACCAGCAACGACACCGTCGACAGCAGTAATAACGAAAGTTTATCGTTTTGCTTTATACGGGTAAGTAAGAGATACATAAAATGTTGCAAAAATCCTATAATTTTCCTACAACTGTCTGAAACACTAAGAATGTACAAGGGGGAGAAAGACTCACTAAAACTAAAAAGAAGAAAAAAGAAATGTCGCCAGAAAAGAGTTGAGACCTGTCTATAGTCAATTATGCACTAAATCCGTAACATTGAGAAAAACTTCTGGTCGAATTAGTGCTGTAAGCTTACAATTATCAGCTCAAATGGATTCAGTTTTCTGAAGTCTGAGTGAATGTTCTCTCACTCTCTATATATACCGACTATTTCTGTTAATTATGCGAAAGTTTGTTCGTGAGTTTTTGATTGAATTTCTGTGTTCTCCGTGTTATCGACAAATGTAAAACCATGACTTTTGAAAATCGTCGTTGAAACAAGGGTAAGAGAGAAATGGATTAGAATACGTTGCGCTGCCGCATGTCCAAGTAGATAAGATTCGCAAATACCGCATTGGCGTTTGTGGGTTTAAATCTCAGTGCAGTAGATCGTACTTGGTCGTATATAAAGTTTATCGGCCGATAGCACACTCGCTTAGTGCGTTTCGTGTATAGAAAGCATCCCCGGAGTGATTGATCATGTTAAAAAAGATGAGTGCGTTCGGGCACTTCACTCCCACACTCGTAGTAGGCTCCCTTGTTTCGAGAAATTTCGGTTTTGTTTAATAAATTTTCATTATAATGCAAACCATTTTAAAGAAATCAAGAACACGACTAACCCTGTCCATCTCGCAATAATTTGCTACGTACTAAATTTTACTTTTTCCATAACATTCACAATATGTGAAAATGCCCTAAAGGGGCGAAGAACCTTAGCCTATACAGAAAATATAAAATTTTTAACAAATACTTTACTCGAAAATCGATATTTATGCCGATATTTAACGAAAATATTCACCGAATTTCGTATAATTTAAAAGAAAACCGAATTTTTTCGATGCGATATCTATTTTTCGTTTTCGAAAGGTACGAACAATGTTGCCGCGCATGCGGGCAGAATGTAGCGGATGATAACGTACGAGGGGACGTTCAATTGCGAATTTTTATGCGTAGTCCATCGATGTCAAACATTATCCAGTCTCTAATTCACTTGCAATGATTAAAAAATTTCGGCTACAATTTCAAGCTGAACCGATGAACGGTTTCAAAATATTTACATATACAATCACAGGCAAAATTTGTTCTATGCATTGAAGATTAAAAAAAACATCTCAATCGTCATTTCAAATTTGACGACTGCTTCTTCAAGATAATGCAATCAGTAAAATTGTCCAAAAATATTATTTTGATCACTACATTAGTGCGTGCGACCCAGCAATGTCAAACTACACACAAGACTGAATAATGAATGAAATCGAGGCGTCATAGGAATAACCGAATTGGGTAAAGCCAACAGGGAGAAATTTAATGCCACCAAAATACAGCTCTGTCTTGGTAACGCACAAACGGAGCGATGAACAACTCTTTTTTTTTTTTTTTGGTCGTATTAGCGTAGAAGAGTCCGCAATCCTTGCCGAGAACAGCCAATTATGTTGCCTGGGATGGGCAAATCTCTCGCTTAACACAGTACTTAACTTAACACAGACGGTTTCGATCCAAGACGGCGCAAAATTTTCGATAATTACGACACGGTGTGGATACAACACCTTCTCCAAAAAATCGACTATGGGTTTTTTTCAAGTGATTTTTGTTTTTATTTTATCTTTAATAAGAGGAGTTTCAACAATGCTGAGAAAGAAAAAAAAATAGGTTAGTTGCAATTGGCTGATGAAAATTAATTTTGTAATCGTCATAATTACTTTTTAAATATATTTGTAATATTTTGTATTTTTTGTATTTCATCATAGTGCTGAATTTCATTTTTTTTTTTTTTTTTGTTTCTTTGTAAACACTTACTTGGAACAAACTTTCATAATAAAATTTTAAGCATAAAATTTTACACCTTACAACAGACAGGATTTCGACACGTACATACGGAAGCCTCCGAAATCTTGCCTAGGAGGTGCTCATAGGGCACGAAAATGCTCGATACCCTCGAACAGAGATATGTCCGTCAATTAAGCTCTTGAGTAGGGTCAGAAGGTTTTCTCAGCATTATCACCAACTCGTCCTGGAGTTATCGGCATAGCGTCCAGCAAAATATCCCAACTCGTCACTCTCCAATCACTCTTCCCGCCTTTGGAACGATCTACTAGCAGTGGTTTTTCCTAAACGTGCCTGATGTTATCACTTTTTTAACCCAACCTCACACAAACACTACACTCTCTCTCTTAACTTTTACTGGTCACCGTACTTGCACGTACACGAGACATCCCCCTTTTTTACTAAAAAAAAAAAAAAAAAAAAAAAAATAAACGCTCGATACATAAATGCACAAATAAATATCACTCGTTAACTTTTCTTAATAATTAATATTAACCGCGCTCTATATACGTGTTGCATATTTAACAAGTTATTGTTAAATGGATAATTTCATTACTATTTTTTTTGGCTGTAGCGGTCGTTGATATTTTGACTAATGCAAGCTCGATAATGAAATGTTTATTAAATGAAATTAATTAAAAGGAAAATACATAAGCAGTAATAGCTGGAACACGATTGATATACAAATTTATATACATATACATATACTATAACAAGAATTAACTGAAGTTAACTGAAGCTTGGATCGATAGAACATACAATCAATAGTATATCGATTTCGTTGTCTGATTAAGTATCATTAGTCGATGGCATAAAGCTGACCCCGTTATGACCAAATATGAATAAACTGAGATAAAAACAACTGTAGTGGGACCCGGCCCACAGAATTTTAACATTGCTGAGGGCGCAATTGATCACGCAATTTGGTCACACTATGGTCACTTATTTTAAAATTAAATTTAAAAGTAAGATTACTAAAAGACAATAATAATTTTTGTTTTTGTAAAGTGCAGTTGTCTTTAACAAATTAAATTCCAGCACGTATCGGTTTAAGTCATTTTTATAAATTTGAAATAGTATTTTTTGTTTTCGTTAACCCTAAACACAAATTGTTTAACGTTGCTTGGATACCGTACGGCCTCTTGGTCGGTAGTCAATCGAAGGACCCAGGTTCAGATCAAGATAAATTTTCTTTGTACATAAGTTCACCAGTGGCAGACGCAAGCGTGTATGCCGGCCACTGTATTTTTTTACACAACATAATTAAACAACATTCAAAAATGAACAAAGTGATTACAGAAATCAAAGTAAACACAAACAAACTCAAATAAAGCACGAAACTGTGCTTTACACAAAAAAACAAAAACACATTTATTGCTACTATTTTTGATGAAGCGCGTGTATATACTTTCTCGCTCTGTACCTAATCCACTTCTTGTAACGTTTAATTATGTCGAATAATCTCATGTTAAACGAGTTGATTACCAAATTAGTTGTGTTAGCATAATTCCCGTTGAAAGCTGAACCTGAGCGAAGGGATGAGCAGTGGCATTCCAAAGAAACGACACAAAATTATTGCGGGCGTTTAAATTTTCACGGAAATGCTAGAGGATACGATATGTGAAAGAGGAAGAAAAAAACAGATAACATAACATGTCATTCCGTCCATCTACCTATTGCTTGTATGCCAGCTGCTACCTGTTTAACTGTCTCATCTGCTAACTGTTAGCTTCCACTTTCGTTTTCAAAATGAGACAGCGTTGACGGTATGAAAGAAGTTGTTACGCCATCATAGGGTGAACCCAGCAGAGTAATTGTTAAACAATATTAACTTGGGTTGCTTGTGTTTGTGCTTCACGTTAGACATAATTTATTGTATGAAGAAAATGAGTCATTTCGGCTCGAAAAGCAATCGAGCTTTGTTAAGGTGTTAGTTTTTGAAACTGAATTTACCATAGATAGGTTCGAACTTGAAAAGTTGCCGAATCAATATACGGTAAACGAGTTGAAGGACTTAACGAAAGACATCAATGCGCTTCGAATGCTTTGAGAATCGAAATATTTTCTCTTGTTCATGCGGTATGTTTGTGTTTAGTTTTTTCCATACATTAGTCAAATATCTATGCCCTGGTCATTAACGATTGAGACACATTAGAAACAACAACACAAGGTTTAGGACCCGATTTAATTACATCCGTCGATCTCATCTCTTTTTCAAGCTCTGGAAGCAAACGATTTATGGTTTATTTTTTTAAATCATATATATACTTCTTTTAAGATCGGTAGGAAATTGTCTAAATTTTCATTTTTTTCAAAGGATCAAGGATTCGCTCAAAATTATCAAAAAATTATATATAAATAGAGCGCATTGTCTATCTAAATCAATTTTTTTTTTTAATCATATTTATGATTTAAAATATAGTACTGCTTAGGGGACAATAGGAGCATCCAAACATTGTTTGAATGGCTTTGTGTTCTGATTAACTGTCGTACGCAAATCAGAATAGTTTGTTATAATAAATTCGTCTCAAGCCGATGTTGTATCATTTAATCTTACTTGAAGGGTTAAGGAAACGCATGGATTGACACATGAAGCTGTGTTAATACTAATGAAATCAAATCTGACAGGAAATGTATAAATAATTGTCATAATGCATGAAGCGAAACAGAGTTTAGCTGACCTTGTCTTTGTAGGAAATTGAAAAACGAAGAAGTAAACTGTCCAAAAACCTGTTATTTATCGACAACCGATTACTTGCTTTTTTTTTTCTTTGTTGTCGTTGTAAGCGAAATTAGTGAGCTAACCTATATTATTTTGAAGAAGTATGCTACGACGGTCGTAATATACATGAAATTATCGAAAACTATGCAGTACGTACCAAATTAAGCAGTTAGCAGCAGATAGTTATTTAAGTTCACATAAAAGGGGAAGACTCTTAAGCGGAGCCGGAGAGTCGTGTAGAGCAATAAATGGTTTGCAAAAGTGTTAAAGTGTTAAAGACCTTAATAAATAAAAAAGTATCTGGTATAGATATGCGTATGGATGCAATACTAG